GGGGGAGAGAGAGAGAAAGAGAAGCATGGATTTAGAGAGACACATCAAATTGGTTGCCTGTGGACACACCCTGACCAGGCTTGGGGATTGAATCTGCAACCCAGGTACATGCCCTTGACTGGGGATTGAACCCGTGACCCTTCGGTGCTCAGGCTGACCTGCTGGGCGGGGCTCTTCTCTGTTCTCTAAAAGAGTGGTCTTTTTTAAAAAATAGTTGATAGAATTCATCACTGAATTCATTGGGGCCTGGACATTTTTTTCTGGGAAGTTTTTAATGAGTTGGTTGTCTCAGATTTTTTAAAAATATATATATTTTTATTGATTTCAGAGAGGAAGGGAGAGGGAGAGATAGAAACATCAATGATGAGAGAGAATCATTGATCTGCTGCTTCCTGCACACTCCCTACTGGGGATTGAGCCTGCAACCCAGGCACTGGAATGGACCCCGGGGCCCTTCAGTCCGTAGGCCGATGCTGTATCCAACTGAGCCAAACCAGCTAGGGCGTTTCTCAGATTTTTAATGGTCTCTTTTTGATAACTTGCATCTTTTATGGAGTTTCTTTATTTCATCGAAATTATCTAATTAGTTGATAAAAAGTTGTTCATGTCACCCCTTTTAACGTCTGTAGTACCCGTTCTGATAATCCCTCTTCTGTTCCTGATTTTAGTCATTTGTGTTTTCTCTTATTTTTTTCTTGGTCAGCTTAAAGGGTGATCAATTTTGTTGATCTCAGAAATCCAACTTTGATTTTCCTCTATTGATTTTCTGTTTACTCTGTCATTGCCTTTCACTGTGATCTTATTTCCTTTCTTCTGTTGTGGGTTTGATTTCTTTTTATTTTTCTAGTTTATTCAGATAAAAGTTCAAGTTATTGATTATAGGTATCTTTTCCTTTCTGATATAACTGTTTTAGTTGCATCCCCTAGATTTTATATTTATTTATACACACACACACACACACACACACACACACACACACACTAGTGGCCTGGTGCACGAAATTCGTGCATGGGCGGGGTTCCATCAGCCCAGCCTGCACCCTCTCCCAATCGGGGACCCCTTGGGATGTCCGATTGCCAGTTTAGGCCCGATCCCTGCCAGCCTGACCTCGCCCCCAACTGCTCTCCCCTGCTGGCCTCATTGCCCCTAACTGCCTCTGCCTGCCTGATCGCCCCCAACTGCCCTCCCCTGCCAGCCCGATCTCGTCCCTAACTGCTCTCCCCTGCCGGCTTGATCGCCCCTAACTGCCCTCCCCTGCTGGCCTGATCTCGCCCCCAAATGCCCTCCCCTGCCGGCCTGATCTCGCCTCCAACGGCCCTCCCCTGCTGGCCTGATCACCCCTAATTGCCTCTGCCTCGGCCCCCACCACCATGGCTATGTCCGGAAGGAAGTTGGATGTCCGGAAGATGTCCAGTCAACCCGGTCTAATTAGCATATTGCCCTTTTATTGTATAGATCAGGGGTGGGCAAACTTTTTGACTCGAGGGCCACAATGGGTTCTTAAACTGGACCGGAGGGCCGGAACAAAAGCATGGATGGAGTGTTTGTGTGAACTAATATAAATTCAAAGTAAACATCATTACATAAAAGGGTACGGTCTTTTTTTTTTTTCTAGTTTTATTCATTTCAAATGGGCCGGATCCGGCCCGCGGGCCGTAGTTTGCCCACGGCTGGTATAGATTATATAGGATAGGATTGCTTAAATAGGGAGGAAAAGCCTTTTTCAGCAGGAGGAGATGCTCTTGGCAGACAAAAATACATAATCCCTATATCTGGACTGATAGCCAGCCATATGCACTGTACTGCCAAACTAGTCATTAAAAAATTGAGCCACTTTCTTACACCTTACACCAAACAGCTGTTGCCCTTAAAACCCCTCCTCAGCCCCCACCTTAGGTTCTGCCTTTGCAGTTCACCCAGATTAGGTTCTGATTGGTCGATTTCTATGCCAGTCAGCGTCAAAAGCTCCACCTCCTAGGCAGCCATTGGCTTTTCGCAGTTCACCCAGATCTTGTTCTGATTGGTCGGTTTCTATGCCAGTCAGCGTCTCCAGGCCTATCTCTGGGGCTGATCAGCAGCCCCCGCGGCTGCTGGCGAGGCCCGGAGAGAAAGAGAGGCAAGGGCTGATCAACAGCTGCCACAGAGGCTGTGGATCAGACCCTGCTTCTCTCTCCGGGCCTCTCTCAGGTCCTGATCTGCAGCCCCCTTAGCACGACCCAGGACTGACTTCCAGTGTTCGGTTGTACATTCGGTCGTTTTGGACGTTACAGACCCTGGCTCTTTATATACATACATAAATACACACACACACACACACACACACACACACACACACACACACATATTTTAGAGAGGAAGGGAGAGGGAGAGAAAGAAACATCAGTCATGAGAGAGAATCATTGATTGGCTGCCTCCTGCACAACCCCTATTGGGGATTGAGCCTGCAACCCAGGCATGTGCCCTGACTAGAAATTGAACTATGGCCGAAACCGGTTTGGCTCAGTGGATAGAGCATTGGCCTGCGGACTGAAGGGTCCCGGGTTCGATTCCGGTCAAGGGCATGTACCTGGGTTGCGGGCACATCCCCAGTAGGAGATGTGCAGGAGGCAGCTGATCGATGTTTCTCTCTCATCGATGTTTCTAACTCTCTATCTCTCTCCCTTCCTCTCTGTAAAACATCAATAAAATATATTAAAAAAAAAAAAAGAAATTGAACTATGACCTCCTGGTTCATGGGTCGACGCTCACCCACTGAGCCATGCTGGCCGGTTATAACCACTAGATTTTGAGATGTTGTATTTTTATTTTTATTCAGTTCAAAATAGTTTTTGTCTATTTTTTATTCTTATTAGCCTGGTTTCCTAGGGGTTGGCCCTATTGCATAGCTCAGTGGTCAGTCATTAGGTCAGGAAGAGATTTTGTCCAGGTTCCTGGGGCCCTTTGCAGGTAATCTGTGTGGTCAGAGTGGGCACTTGCAGCCCACTCAGGCTCTTCCTGCTAGCTGCCTGAGGCTCTGTCAGCTGCATGGGGAGGACCTACGTACGCCTTCAGTAGATCTTTCATGGCCAGAATTTCCTCAGTTTCTCAGATTTCCGGCTGACCAACTATTGCAAACAGGACCAAGATCAGAGGCCATCAGATCTGTGCGTGTTTCCTATCTCCTCCACCGACTTCGCTGATGGTGCTGCTTGACATTTCAATCAGCCTTCTGGGATTTCCTATCTCACAGCCCTGTATCCACTGCTCTTGCTCCTCCACTTCCGAGTCCTGGAATGCTTGTTTTGCCCAGTTATATGCTTCGAGTTGGGGGTGGGGAGGCTTTGCTGCTCTCTCCATGCTTCCATAGCCAGAAGACTGTGTGACTTTTTAATCTCATTTTTCCTTAGTTCCCATTTGGGCAGTTATTGCAAACATTTTTTTTACCTATTCTTGGCTTGCTCCAGCCCCTGTTCCTTCCCTTTGTTTCATTAAACTGTTTTCAAAAGATACATTTAGAGGGGAAAGAGACAGAAAAATATACGGGCTGCTTCTGGGCTAATTTGCCAAGCTCCTCTTGGAAATACTCCATAACTGAGCAGTCTGCATTGGGGAAGGTTAACTAGCCATTGACCGGTATGTTTCTGTTTATGTCGGAGCAGAGTGTAGTGCTCATAGAAGTCTGAATCTACTTTCACCTTCAAGCATCCATTTCAGTTAAGATGACATAATTTAGCAGGTCCAGGTCTGTCTTTCTTGTATCCACTTTTCCGTCCTGGTCACCAGCTCCCTGCTGGGAAGATGCTACACTTCACACTAAAAGTGGCCGATCGGCACAGCCAGGGGCTTTGCTACCTGGTGGAGTTATGACTATCAGTGTAGCTTGAGTGTGTGCTTACTTCTTCACTGATGAACAGTGTTTTAGGTCATGAAATGAGGGAACATTAGTAAAATGCAAAAAGGTTAGGTCTCTGATACTTATAAAGCTCTATGGAATGCAGGAGTTCCTCCTTTGAGTCATCGACTCTGGTTGGTAATGGCACTTGTGACTCAACAGGAGGAGCCCTGTGCCCAGAGTCCGTGTGCAGTGTTGTGTCCGAGGAGGGAAGGGCTGGACATGGCCCAGGGTTCATGACCACAACCAGGGGAGGAGGGAGCATGGTAGCCTGCTTCCCTTAAGTTTAAATAGGAGTTAAGAGTTAAAATCATTGATTATGCAAACTCTCAGATTCTAACACAAATACTCATGTAGATGGGAAATGCATGTTGAGTGTGAAGTATTTTTCAAGTTAAGCAATATTTTACTGACCTAAACAGCTTTTCCTTTAATTACAGACCTCTTGAGTGGGTATACTAATCCAAGATCTTACTGTTTTTCATTTCAAAACTGTTACTTAAACCCAAACACTGTCAAGTAAAAAATGTCCTAGTGGCTCTAGTAAAATAACAGGTTTGGTTTTCTAGCATTTGGTGGTTTTGTGTCCGATGATGGGGAGGGATGTCGGGCTGTGCAGATACTGACCAGTATGCTGCCTTGTTCCTTTCAGCAGGGAGGAGAGAGCGATGGCTTTTTTCACCCGGACGGCCAGCCCCAGCGGCCTCCCCAGCCTCCAGAAGTGAGACAGCAGCCTGCCCGCAAGGTGACGCTGACCAAGGGGGCCCTTCAGCAGCCCCAGCACCTGCCAGTCGGGACCCATGTGTACTCAGCAGGCCCTCCGGGCATCAAGAGCATCCAAGGGATTCACCCCGCCAAGAAGGTACAGCTGTGTCCTCACCAGTGCTGCGAGTGTGAAGCTGGAATGGTCTGAGGGGGAGGAGTGCCTGCATGCTTCCTGTCATGACTTTTTAATGATTCAGCTTTGGGACAGCACCCACCACCCAGGGTGCAGTGGTTTCCTGCTACCCTCAGCTGTGCCCTGGAGATGGCCAGTTGGCATGCTCTCCTTTCTACCCACAATTCTGGAGCCAAGTCTGGGTAGGAAGCCTGGGAAGTCTGGTGCCGCTAGTCCCACCCACTCTGGCTGCTTTTCACGCATGTCCTGTGCTGGATGAGTTCAGTTTTCAAGGAAACATTTGGCACCGGTGCTCTGTCTTGTTTCCTAGTTAGAACAGACCAGAAAGATCAGCTCTGTCCTCTTTCTTTAAAGGTCCCAGAACAGTGTTTTGAACCCTGGACAGCTTTAGAAACTCTGAGGTCTGGGCCCCACCTTAGACCAGTGATGTCATAATTTTGGAGGTGAGGGTAGAGGCCCTCTGTCCTTGGTTTGGGCTTTTGGTTTGATTTAAAGCTCTGCAGGTGAATGTAAAGGGCAGCCCCCAGGGGACCATTGTGGCAGAAGTGGCCTTTCAGTTCTCAGGGTGCCAGTGCACGTGCGTACTTAACCACGTGAGCTAGATCTGTGAGGTGGTGGCTTGTGGTGCCTGTGTGGGTGGGTTGCACCATCCCTGCAGAGTTGGCCTGGAGTACGGAGGGCAGAGGGAGAAACTCAGGCTCTGGGGCCGTTAGGACTAACCTGAACCCTAAGTGTGTGGCTGACATGCATTTCTGGATCCCGGGGGCCTGCTGCTTCACCCCTAGCACGGAGGGAACAGAGGTGCTGCCTCGTCCCTGCTGGGCTCCAAATCAGCTCTTGTCTTTGTCTTTCACGTTTGGTGGGTGGTGGTGTCCTCTTTAGATATTAAATTCTTTTCTGAGCACAGCAAAAACTATAGAAAATCCTATAGCTCGTGGTGTATTTTAACGGATTCTGAGTTATTTGCTCACTTATATATCTTAGTAGTTGTGCCAAAAAACAAAAGCTTTTGAATTGATCAGTCCCTCCTGTCGTTGGCAGGTCGTCATGCATGGCAGAGGCCGGGGAGCAGCAGGGCCAATGGGCCGCGGGCGCCCGATGCCAAATAAGCAGAACCTGCGGGTGGTGGAGTGCAAGCCGCAGCCCTGCGTTGTGTCTGTCGAAGGCCTGTCGTCATCCACCACTGACGCCCAGCTGAAGAGCCTGCTCATGTCAGTGGGACCCATCCAGGTGGGCACCTGCTCCATTGCGCCTGTGCCCGTTGTCCAGCCCATGACTCAGTCACTTCCTGGTTTATCATGAAGTGTTGGTTACTTCATGTTAAAATAATGCTTTGGAGGAGGAGGAGGAGGATGCAGGTGTTACATCTCCTGTGCACACTTGCTGTCAGAACTTCTGCCCCAGAGTTCAATTAGTTGGGAATTTTCACATGCTTACATATAAACTTATGGAATAACTATTCCAACTGAACAGATGATACTTTGAAATCCTCAGATTATCCTAAAGTTCACATATGCACAGGTATATTTAGTTTTTTCCCCTGTCACAAACGTTTTATTTGTAATAATTAAAAAATTTTAAAGTAGCCTTCTTGACCTTAATTTCCAGAAATAGCCTCTCACATTAACAGCTGTAGGACTTGGGTGAGATTTTACAAATAGGAAATAATGTGGACTGTATTTTGGTCTCTTAAAACTGGCTAATTCTGAGTGCTTAGCCCTTTGAGTGCCAACCAATATCCTAGGAACTATGCTAAAATTGCCAAGGCATTTTTGCTGATTTTACAGCAGTTTAGGAAAAAAATTATGAATCGCAAGTAAATGAAGTTACATATTCAAAAACTTAAGGAAACCTTTACTACATTGACATATTTAACAATATCATCATCACTTATAAAAGCAGACTTAGAACTGGACGCCATTTCAAAGCTTTGATAGCGCTCCCGGCACTTTTGGCGAAAGACAGGAGGAGCGCGATCGCACTCCCCGGCACTCTAGGGGTTAAGGGTCCCCATGGGGCTGGCAGCAAATGGTGGGTCTCCAGTCCGCTGTAGACCAGGTTTTCCACAGGACCCCGTCTCTGCAGCTTCCAGACCCTGTCGGTAAACCAGCAAGGAGGCAGCTCACCTGGTTTCCTCGAGCAGCGCTTTCGTTCCTGCCCTTCCTGCCAGGTGGAACAGTGCTTTCGCTCCAGGCCCCAGGCGGCCTGCCTGAGACAGAGCACTGACACACTGCCTGATGGGAAGGTTTCTGAGTAACACAGTGCTCTCTGCTCCAGGAGTGAATGGGAAACATTTCAGGCTAGAGTTGATACAAGTAATTCATTCTTGATGTGTTTGGAATCTCCCTGTACTATTGAGAATTCCTAAAAGTGAAGAGTAACAAATACCTTTCTAAACACCTTTCCACCGCCCCTCACTTTTGGGTTCCGAGAGAGATGTTAGGGTTAGTTTTATGTGTATGTAGTAATGACAAGTGAACCAGACAAGTGAATGACAAGAACTTTGGCCTCTGTTCTCAGGAGTGAATTTCTGTGGCGTGGGCAGGGCATAGGGGTAGTTGTTTCCTGACAGTTAATAGTGATCGGGATAGTTTGCAGGCACAGAACTGACACGAGGATTATTTTCAGGTGCACAAATGTGGTCATCCCAATCGGAGACCCTCAGACCAAATCACAGGTCAGCGGTGAGCCCAGTGTCCCCAGTGTCCCCAGTGCCTGCTCCCTCTGTGGGTGGGGAGTGTGCATCCTTGGTAGTTCTCCTGCCCATTTTCCAGACTGGGGTCTGTGTGGCCAGTGCTTAGTCCATGGCACTGATGGAGGAAGGGCCAGTGGCTGCATTGCACTGGTCTTCTGTCCTGAAAACTGAATTTTGTATGTTGGAGATCTAGATCTCTTAAATCATCTATTTTCCCTCCCATTTGCCATGTTTTTTTTCTGTTCTGAAGAAGGATTAGAGGTCATTGTATTATAAATAATAAAGTTTGAATGAGGGCACTTGAAGTGGAGCAAAAACAATGTTGAATTGTTTAATGAGAAAAAGAGAGGAAAACAAGAAAGAAGTTTTCTAAGTTATATCACTTACCCTTAAAATAAAGTACAAGGCGGGGTCCTCTATGTCCTGTGGAAGTCCCTGAGGAGTGGCAAGTGTAGAGCTTCTGCCAGAGCCTTTGCACCCGCCTGGATCTGAGCCGAGTGCTCTCCATTCTTACCAGTCTGGCTCCTGGGATGGTTGTGAGTGAGGGTGTAGCTATTTAAGTGCTGCAGCCACACATGCTAAGACGCTAAGTCCGTAAGCACACTGATAGAACAAGCTTCTACAACAGTGTTAGAATGACATTATGAGTATAAATTTTGAAAAGATATTTATAACAATGTCTTGTTATAATTATGTTTTAAATATAAATAGACTTGGCAGGGATGGAGCTGAGAGGGCTCCTGCTGGGATGATCCAGCTAAGCCTGTGAGTGTTGGGCTGTGGCGCCACCTGGAGTCCATGTGGTGTAATAGCAGTGGTGGTGGTGGTGGTGTCTGCAATGCATCCCTTTTTTTCTTTTCTAATTAAGTTTATTGGGATGACATCTATATATATAAAAGGCTAAGTGACCGTATGTCCGACCGACAACCCGGTACATATAATGTGCACTGGCAGTTTAAAAATAAACGCATGCGTGATATTTGTCCCCCGCCTCCCATTTAAATTAATTTGAAGACAGTTTCCCATGATGCCAGCATTTGCAGTGACTATTACTAAATCACAAGGACAAACTCTAGACAGAGTAGGAATATTCCTACCTGAACCTATTTTCGGACATGGTCAGTTATATGTTGCTTTCTCTCAAGTTCGAAGAGCGTGTGATATTAAAGTTAAAGTTGTAAATACTTCATCACATGGGAAATGAGTCAAGCACTCTGAAAGTGTTTTTACTCTCTTAATGTGGTATACTGGGAGATATTAGAATAAGTTTAATCAATTTATCAGTCATTGTTTTTATCAATGTTTTTTATATGTTTTTGTTGTTTTTATATCATATCTTAGTTATATCTTGTTATTGTTTATTAATCAATTTATATATTATTTTCATATACATTTTGTTAATTTTTTTTCATCTCTGACACTTCTATTATAGAGATAGGGCGAATAGTAATATTAAAATATTTCTTCTAATTAATTTCCTTTCAAATGTGCACGAATCTGTGCACCAGGCCACTAGTTGGTTTATATGATCATAATAGGTTTCAGGTGTGGGTTTCTATGTGACAAGGTCTGTAGACTGCACTGCAGTGCGTAATCATCTGCTGCTTAGCTGTGGGATCTGAGAGGCTTACCCACTGTGGAGCAAGGCACCCCCTTGCTCTTCCCTTAGACCCGTGGTCGGCAAACCGCGGCTCACGAGCCACATGCGGCTCTTTGGCCCCTTGAGTGTGGCTCTTCCACAAAATACCACGTGCGGGCGTGCATGTACAGTGCGATTGAAACTTCATGGCCCATTGCAGAAGTCAGTATTTTTGTGGAAGAGCTGGTATTTTGTGGAAGAGCCACACTCAAGGGGCCAAAGAGCCACATGTGGCTCGTGAGCCGCAGTTTGCCGAGCCGCAGTTTGCTGACCACTGCCTTAGACCATACTCACAAGCCTCTCTAGAAAGTCCGTTGAAGAGACATTTGTCTATAGACTCATTATTTACACAATAAGAAGAAATGATAGGTTTTGTAGAATATTCAAACCAGAAGGGAGAAATGACACAAGAAGTATCAAGTTTCGGAATTTCAGATGAGAGGGCGAGTGCGAATCAGCCAGGCGGTGTCCCCAGCAGTCCTCCTCGATGCAGGGGCCGTGGGTGGGGCTGCAGGAATGCATCCTCCTGGACTGGCCCCCCTCCTGCTCCGTCTGGAAGACCGAGCCGGTCAGCTGTCAGGACCAGGGAGAAGGGGCGCCACAGCCTCCTAGGCCCCTTCGCTTCATTATCTTTATTTCCCTGTCTGCTGTGTTGTGCCTAAAATTGTGTTAAACATTTGTTGTTCTATAATGAACTAGTGGCCTGGTGCATGAAATTCGTGCAGGGGGGGCGGGTGTCTCTCAGCCTGGCCTGCACCCTCTCCAATCTGGGATCCCTCGAAGGATATCCTACTGCCGGTTTACAGGGATCAGGCCTAAACTGGCAGTCGGACATCCCTCTCGCAATCCGGGACTTCTGGCTCCTAACCACTTGCCTGCCTGCCTGCCTGATTACCCCTAACCACTCTGCCTGCTGGCCTGCTTGCCCCCAAATGCCCCCCCACCCCCCCGCCAGCTTGATCACCCCCAACTGCCCCCCCCACGCTGGCCTGCTCGCCCCCACCTTCCCTCCCCACTGGCCTGCTCACCCCCAACTGCCCCACTCACTCCAAACTGCCCCCCCCTGCAGTCCTGCTCACCCCCAACTGACCCCCACTGATGGCCTGCTCACCCCCAACTGCCCTCCCCTCTTGGCCTCTAAACGCCTCTACCTCGGCCCTGCCACCATGGCTTTGTCCAGAAGAATGTCCGGAAGGTCTCCTGGAAGGTCTCCCAGTCTAATTAGCATATTATCCTTTTATTGGTATAAAGGCCTGGTGCACAGGTGGGGGCTGGCTGGTTTGCCCTGAAGAGTGTCCCAGATCAGGGTGGGGGGTTCCCTTGGGGCGTGGGGCAGCCTGGGCAAGGGGCCTGTGGTGGTTTGCAGGCCAGCCACACCCCCATGGGATGAGGGTCCCACTGGGTGGGCGTGGCCTGCCTGGGTGAGGGGCTGAGGGCTGTTTGCAGCTGGCCATGCTCCCCAGCGGGGACCCTCACCCCATGGGGACATGGCCAGCCTAGGTGAGGCAATGATGGCTGTTTGCAGGCTGGCCATGCCCCCCAGTGGGGACTCTTACTCTATGGGGGTGTGGCCAGCCTGGGTAAGGGGCTGAGGGTCATTTTCAGGCTAGCCACAGCCCCTTCAGGATGGGGGTCCCCACTGGGGTGCCTGGTCAGCCTGGATGAGGGGCTGATGGCTGTTTGCAGGCTGGCCAAGTCCCCCAGTAGGGACCCTCTCCCCACCTCCGGTGACCCAGGCCCCCAGCCCCTCCTTGAGCGGAGGCCAGGGCGGGCGAGAAAGCTTGGCTTCCTCCGTCGCCGTGGGCAACCAAAGCCTCCTGCTCCAGCTCCGTGGCCGCCACCATCTTTGTTGGGTTATTTTGCATACTCACCCTGACTGGCTTGTGGGCATAGTGGAGGGACGGTCAGTTTGCATGTTTCCCTTTTATTAGTGTAGATGAAACACCATGGTATATAAAAAGAGCCATTTCCTCAGAAGAGTGGAGTTGGTGATCACTTAAGGTTCCCTGCAACCCTTGTACCGTAATAATGGCCAGGGCTTAGATGTGGCCTGCCTGTGCCTGGCCTGTGCCCGTTACCGTGTCTCTGCTGGTGGCTGTAGTTTTCCTGAGCAGCCGGGAGGTAGGATGCAGCTGGTAGCAGCTGGAGTTGGGCTTTGAGATGAGGCTTCAGTGGAAGTCCCGGTTTTGCCATTTCTTTGTGTGCGCCTTTTGGACTGAGCACTCCACCTCCATGAGTCTTGGTGTTTCCATCAGGCTCTCATAAGTCACAAAAGACTGGTAACAACACCCGCGCCTCATTGTTCCCTGGCATAACCTGGCAGGGAGGGAAACTAAAGAAACAAAGGCCCGTGTCACTGGGGCAAAGCGTGTGAAAGCAGGGAGGACAAAGCAGAAGTACCCCTCCCACTAGTGCCCCTGCATCAGCAGGTCCTGTCCGAGGGCTGTCCTCCTGCAGTTGCTTCAGGACACCAGCTAGCCAGCCTCAGACAGCATCTCCACCACCCAGATGGGAGTCCCCCAAGCAGCCAGGAAGGCAGGGTCACCGCAGAGAATCTGAACCCTGAGGGGACATGGGTCGACGAGAACACCTCCACTGCATCTGGGTCTGACTGGCCAGGAAGGGGGCTGGTGGGTGACGTGAAGATGTTGGCATCTCCAGTGAAAGAGTGAGTCATTTTGCATTCAGAACATTTGGGAAAGCAGACAGCAGGATGGTCAGACGTTGGCTGCCGGAAACCCCTTGCCACCAGGTTTAAAGAAGGTCCGGGCGTGGCCACAGGACCTGCAGTTCTCCTGGCAACAGGTTAGCTGGAGGCCCCCATGGAGAGTCTCGGAAGCGTTGTAAGTAAGCCAGGAAGCCATGCGGTTCTCAGGAGGCAGTGGGAAGCAGAGCTCTGAGGAGCCCTTGTGTCTGAAGGATCAGTCTGAGGGGGACAGGGAACACGGAACACCCTGTGGTGGACGTGGATGGGCGTGAAGACGCTCAGGAGACCCGTTGGAACTCAGGAGCCATGCAGCATCTGTGTCAGAGACCTGGCAGGTGGGATAGTGCCGTCGATTCTGTGACAGTGGGCATGGGGTGGGGCTGCCCGAGGCCCTGCAGCGAACTTCCCGTGTTTCTGCTCCGACCCCTCCGGACAGTGTTGCTGCTTCTGCCTGCCCCTTACCAGCAAGAGTGCCAGTGAGCCGTGCACAGGGAGACTTCCAGAATAAGGTCCTACTCGTTTCTACGAGAAGCACCGCCTGGAGGAGCAAAGATGTCCTGGGGCGAGGCTGACTGCCCCCGGGGGCTGCAGGTCCGTCAAGTGGGGGGAGGGCCGCACACCATCGCCCAAACGGGGCTGCTCTGAAGCAGTTCCCCTTGTGTTTAAAAGAGTTAGTATCGTTTTGGCTTTAGGTCATCCCTGAAGGTGAGGAATCCTTGGCCAGAGGGAAAGCATGGAATGGGTCTGCCAGGGCAGAGAGTCGGCTTCATTTCCCAACATTTCATTCTCTGTCCAGCACGGGCACACAGAGGCTCCTCCCAGAAAGAGGACGGTCCTCGCGGGAGGAGGCCAGGCTTCTGAACAGCGTGCACACTGCGGTTAGGGGCGTGTCCCACGCAGTGCAGTCACGTGGCTCTGATGGGACTTGAGTGTGAACGCAGGAAGGGCCAACTCGAGGAACGCTTCAGCTCGTGTTTTGTGATTAATAGCAGAGCAATTACATATTCTCAGAAACTGTCGGAAGACGTCTTGTCTGGAAAGAACGGACAGTACCTCGGGGAAGGTTGGTGAGTGCAGCCGCGTGGCATGTCAGGAAGCTGTTTGGGGGCGGGTTGGGGAGTCAGAGTGAACAGTAGAGACTCGAGACAGATTTTAAGGTTTGGTCTGTTCTGGGTGATTTGTGTTTATATAAAAACGTGGAAACCGGTGATCACAAGCCTTTCACCTTTCAGTGAAACGTGTTTTTCCTCTCCTTCCAAAGAAATCACTAATATTATCGGTAGGTTGAATATGACAATTTCTACAATTCATTCTCATGTCTAGAAAATAAGGGTTTGTCTTATTGGAAGGGCACCACAGTGTAAATAAAGGGGAGCGGCCAGCAGGCGACTGTAGCAGTGTTCTCGTGACGGGTGTTGACCACTGGAGAGCCCATCATTCTTGTGGTTGAAGAACTTCTTTGCAGTTTATGCTGTCTTGACTCATAGTCCTCCATCAAACTGAGATTTAAACCACTTAGATACATGTACACGAATCCTCTTACATGGTAAATGGTAGAAACGAAGCTCATGCCTTCATTTCACATTGGTGACTCACACACAGGATAGTAACCCCGGAAATCTAGAAATATTTTTTTTCTAGAAGAGGAGCATAGTATTTTCAAAATCTAGATTCCATGGACAGTCACCTGACGGGAATGCTTGAGAACAGAAAGTGACTCTCCAAGGGTACTTGCCACCAAGCCTCAGAGAAAGTTTAGAGGGAAGATTGGGCAGTGATGTGGTCAGATGATGCAAGGTCTTAATGCCAGGCTTGGAGGTTATAAGTGCTGGTCAGGGGAATGACTTCCTGAAACAGAGTTTTTGGATATATTATCTAGATGGGTAAGAAAAATTCCCACGAAATAGAATTAGTTTGTTTTAGTGATCCAAGTATCAGCCTGAACTTCCATTTTGTATTAAATGTAATGTTTGCATATATATATTTTTTTAACCATAGAAAGCATGATGTTAAAATGTTTCTTTGTTTCCTTCCTCTAGAGTTTACAGATGCTTCCCCAGCAACGGAAAGCCATAGCCAAGTTTAAGGAGCCAGCCCATGCGTTAGCATTTCAGCAGAAGTTCCACAGGTAGCGGTGGATGCCATGGTTTTGGTGACGTGGGTGCGGGCGGGGACCTCTCCTGTGCGATGTGCTCTCGGTCACCGGAGCTGTTGCTTCGCATGCTGCTGTGTGTGCACCTGTCACTGTATAGATGCATATTCATGCACAGGGGACAGTGCCTCCTCCCATGTGGACGCTTGTCCCTGGTGTTCATGCCAATGCTCTCTGTCACTCAGGGCCCACATTCCCCTCTAGCTTCCTCCTGCTTCGATAAGTCGCCTGCTGTGTTCAGAGTTCACTTAACCTTGGCTGTTTGTTTCCATCTCCACAGGCACATGATAGATTTGTCCCACATAAACGTGGCCCTGATTGTGGAGTGATTTCTAGCAGGGAGGCCGACCTTACACTGCACACACAGCTGTGGACTTGCTTCAAGGAAGCTGCCGGCACAGGACCTGCCAGCGAGGTCTCCGTCCAGTCTGCTAACTCTTGTCCAGAGCGCCGGGCTGCCCAGTGTTGGTTCCGGGAGAGCTGAACTTGCAGGACATGGCAGGCTGGAGTTCGGTGTTGATGGCTTCAAATTCTGTGGCCACTTCCGAGAACTCCAGTTTTTGTTTTCTTTTGTTTTCAAAGTGCTTACAATGCATGTAGACACTGTTCTTCGTAATTTTACCGTCTGATCGATCGCTCACCGTGACTTAGGTTCAGGGAGGAACATTAGCAGCACAAATTCTAAGTACTTTCCACAGCAAAGAATATTTGATAATGGTTGCACTTATCTTCAGTGCAGGCTAGACCAGAGGTGTCTTCTCAGAAAGCCCTCTACTGGTTCTTGTAAAAACAGGCGAAAATGTGGGTGATTGTGATTGACAGCTGCCTATCCCAGAAAGCAGGGTGTGAGGGCGGGTGGGGCAGGGGCATGGTGCGGCAGATTCTGCTTCCTATGCACCAGTTGCATATTCCGAGTTCCTGAGGGGACTCCCCACCCGTTTTTAAGTTCTCAAATAGGGCGAGGACCAGGTGGTCGCCACTGCGCTTCCCTGGGGGCAGAGAAGCCGGGGTGCTGCTCTGGCCGGGGCCCTCACTGGAGCTCCCTGTCTGGTGGGGTGCACAATGGGCCTGCCGGGCGGAGGGACAGCTTGAAGCTTGAATAGACTTGGTTGGTTTTTTTCTCTTTAAATGCAGCCCAAAGCGGCAGATGTCACTGACTCTGTGGCATGCAGCGTTCTTCGGGAAGCTGGCTCTCATTGCTTTGAATGATCTTTTTTTTATAAGGCCTTAGAGTGGTGCTGTGTTGCCCTTCAGTAGACCCAAGGGCAAGGCGACATAGACCCCAGCACGCCACTCTCCACGGTGTGGTGTGAGGGAGGCTGTCTCACAGGGACCGTGAGACCCAGAGCAAAGTGTGTGTGTCACCCATGAGTGAGGGTGCATGGGCTCCTTAAGGTGGGGCCGTGCCCCCACAGACCAACCTTAGGAGAATTGATTCTGGGTGAGCGTGGAAAAGTGCCTTACTGCATTTCTGCTCACGCAGGAGTTCACTAGCAGTTACTCTAACGTGGACCTGACTGAGCGAATGGCACTGGGGCACACTTAGACTTTTTAGCTGTGTTTTATACCTAAGACGTCACGTCAGAGTTACCCATAGAAGTAATAGAAATAGAAGCATGTTGCCACGTACTGTCTGGTTAGCCCAGCGGGGACCAGATTGGGAGCCCGGAGGCCTGTGCAGAGATGCTCCTCGAGACTCGGCCTCCTCGTGGGAGCTGACCCAGGTTGTGGGGGCTTGTACCATCGTGTTTGTACAGTTGAGGTTTTATTTTACTTTTTCAAAGTAAGTGAGCAGAAGTGGAGGGGAGTATCTAGACCCTGTGGACCTTGTGTAGTGTTGATTCTCCGATGGCATGGTGTGCTGAGTGAGCCTAGGAAACGAGGGTGCTGCTGAGGGCGCTCCCCGGAGAGGTCAGCTCAGGAAAGTACAGGCACGCCTAGGGTCTGGGAGCACCACCCACTGGGCACCTGGCACCCTGCTCCAGAGAGCCCCTGACTGAGTCAGTGCCCATGCCCAGCAGCTGCCTGATGCGGGCTCGCTGCCCACTCTCACACAGCTGCAGGTGAGCTCACATAGAAACCGTAGCGCAGTGCATTAAAGTGACAAGGTAGCCGGAAGCTCTAGTTACAGACCACTCCCTACTCTGTGTTGTCAGCGGGAAGGCTCACAGTTGGTGGACTGTCACCGAGGACTTCCTGCCACAACAAGATAAGTTGAACAGACTTTTGCCGCTTTCTGAAATAGTCGGAGTGTGCGGTGGCTTGGAGGCCACAGCCCTGCATGTGGTCTCTGGAGCGTGGGTGTGTAGCGTCCTTCTTTCCAATCAGTGATGGTGAGCCCACCTGCCCGGCACCACAGCTGCTGCAGACAGACTCACGGCTGCTTCAGGGCATGCGATGATGTGGGTGCCTGGATGTGTCTGTGCTGTCTGCACACCCGGGCATGCTTTTTCTCCATGCCCTGTCCTCTAGGGGGGCGTGGGCCTTTTCCAGAGCCCAGGTGGGCATGCTCCACACGGGGCCCCTGGGTGGGGACTCTGCAGTGCAGCCGGGCCCCGGGACAAAGCTGAGTTTCCTTGGAGGAAACGGCAGGAAAGGAAAGCAGCAGCATTAGGGAGTGATTTCTTCCCATTGGTGGTGCACTTCTCACAGGGCACCGAGCTGAGCCCTCTTGGAAGATCTGTTGCAACCATTATCTCTGTTCTTTCTTTATCATGCATTTAAATGAGACGCAGATGCATCCAACACACTGTAAATACGGACCTTTTAAACTGAAGTGTTATTGGAGATGTTTCAATTCAGCAACACCTTAGCTCTTTGCTAGTTCTTTTGTGTTGTCTCATCAAAGTTTAATGGATGCAGTTCCATAATTGTTGACGTGTTCATGTGTATATCCGATTTTTATAAAGATGGGAGTAAGTCAATACATTGATCCTGACCTGTGTATTATTTGTTCACAAATTCAAGAAGCTTAAAGCCAGTAAATATCAGTATATCTCATAAGGTAGATACAGTAGGTGATGATGTGGAGCCATTACTTTCCTTTCGCATTACCTTGTTTTGGTTTTGTGCTGTAACAAGTTCACCTAACTACCTATCTGAGCATAAGCTTGCATTACTGTTGGTCTGGCCACATTTGTTAAATCCTTATACTGATATTCTTCTAAAGGAAAAATCTTGTCTTTTCTTCCCAAAAGAAATGTTGAGGGTCCCGTGTCTGGATAGGCAGCATCCTAAGTGGGTGCCTGTGGCCGCAGCCCCAGGGAGGTGGGGTGGGAGGGGGAGGAGCAGGCTTCATCATATGCACTTTAATTTGGGTCGCCCTCATCATGATGGTAAAGGTCCTGAGAAACAATTGTTCATGCTTGGTTCTGTAGCATCTCTGAACTGTGACAGTGTAGATCCCGCACCCTGGGGTCTTTTTTTCATACAGCATTTTGCTTAATTCTACCAACAGAGGACTTTGTTGCTGGGAGGAGCCGGGGAGGTGTGGGGTGAAGGGGCAGGAGGAAGGGGAGCTGTGGGAGAGGACGCTTTTGTAGAAGGAAGCTGCTGTAATGAGACGTCACCATGGCCTGTCTCCTGACACATGCACTCGGGAGCAGGCGGTGCAGTCTAGGAGCATGCGGGCGGTGGGCGCATGGTGTGGTAGGTGTCTGCTGGCCGCTCCCGCGGGCGGTGGGAGGGCGGGTGGAGAGCCATCTTGAACTAGGTGATCCTTCTGCTTTGCCCACAGGACGGCAGGTGGCTCTTGTGGGTAGATGAGTAAGACCTGCTCATCGAGCTGATTTTGAGCAGTTAATCAAGTCTTCTGTTTTGGCTTTCATTGTTTTGTTTTGTTGTGTTTATTTTGTGTTTTATTTCTGTTCAATCGAAGGTAAGCTTGAGGGCTCGTAGACCATTGGACTGACGGGACCCTGTTGAGGACAGTTAGGTTTGGAGTGAGGTCTGTGTGCGTGGAGCCCTGAGAGGCAGCACTCGGCTGTCCAAAACGCCCCATGCGGCCGGCCGTCCTTGCAGATGGCTGGGATGGCGGTGGGCTCCTGCGCTGCCAGGGCCCTCCCTCCCTGCTTGTAGGCCCCCCTCCCCCCCCCCCCCCCCATATCAGGTGGGAGAAATTGGTGGGAAGGGCACTGCACTCATTCGGTGCAAAGATAAGGGCAGCGGCCAGGGGAAGGTGTGCTATTTAAGAAAAACGCGCGGAGAGTTCAAATGTAACCCCATACGGACATCGGGTTTTAGGGGGGATCACACAAACTAGTGGCAGGCGAGTGTCGCTTACGGAGGCAATCGTTACG